CTAAAATCAAGATTTTTATTTGAATTTTTTGTATTTTTAATATATAATCTGTGCGTTGAAGTTTCTCTAGCAGTTTGATAGGTTTTGTGGTGTAGGGTCGCTAGCCCCATACCCAACCTTCCCTCTTTACCCGGGTTTAGGACCGGCTAGAAAACTAGCAAGCTATTTAACTAGGCGAGGTTGAATTATATCTAATTCTGCATAAATCTGAAGACTTACGGGTGAAAACCAACAAACTGGCAGAAGAAGTAGGCAGTGAAGGCAGGATGTAGGGGACTGTCTACAGCCAGTTCATTAACATAACAAATATGCGAATAAAAATCCAAGTCAATGAGAGTACAATGCAACTATATATTATCAAAATGCAGTAATGAGTTATATTAATTAATAGGTTACTTGGATATGTTGTTAAAGTCCACTGCTACAAATTATTTATATAATCCACAGAAACGTTGACTGTTGGAATCGTGTCTACTGATAGAAGCTGTGTTCCGGTTGTAGATTTGTCTTCGGATAAGGATGACAGGTTCCTGCAATAAATCCAAAGTATACAACACGGTTTGAGTTGGGTGAGTAGACAGAAATGGTCAGAGAGAAGGCGGAGCTACCAACAGTATAGTGTATTTCAAAATCCGCTCGGAAGTTATATGTATTTAAACATAAATCGTTTTAAACAAGAGTCATGTACAATGTTTCTAATTTCAACATCTAAACAAAAAGTGTACAATCACATGGTTACGTACTCCACAAGGAATTCAAGTGAATATGGAGAAGACGGAGGTGATAAAGATAATCAAACAACCAACCATCAGCAACAACAACCAACACCAATCACCATCAACGGGAGAGATTTGACGGAGGTGACTTCTTTCACTTATCCGGCTAGAAAGCATCGCTTCAACTACAGGCACGCTGGACGAGTGCGGATTTCAAAACCAGTTTAGTTCAAAGAGGCGAGACAGATATTTGTCACTCTGAAATCAGTTTGGAAAATCTTTTGCACTGCACTCAGCATAAAGAGCGAAATTCTGATTTTCAGAACCAATGTTAGGCCAGTCAGAGTTTCTATGTGGTTCAGAGACTTGACGTGTCACGAGAAGTATTTCTATAAGGCTTCGGACTTATATCAATAGCTGCTCCCTCTTTTTGTTCCAACGAAATCAACCAGCTTTGAGAGGACAACTATACTGAAATCATCCGTGTGAGCTATAAATCGTCTGCATTATGTCACGAAAAATACATTGCCGTTGATTACATCTCATAAAGGAAGAAATGATTCGTAGAATAAACATTGGTGAGAATTATGAATTTCATGGTATATGAAAAAGGCACAAACAGCGAAGAAAATTCTCCCTGTGCGACGAATCATTTTCATGAGCTGTACTATCGTAATTATATTATATAAATAAACCATTTCCTTTTATTTTAAAGCATCATACTTTATTGTTACTGTATTTCTTATATTATAATCCTCTCAATTTTTTCGTTTTGTTTATTTCTTTTCATAAGTGTGGTCATCATTTAAGCTGTATTATGACTGTTAATTTTGTATTTCCCCTCACTATACTATATCAACAGAACATTAGACCCAATAATCTATAACATGCTAAAGTTTCCAAACTGAATTGACAATACCGTTTCAAACAAACTCACTATTATTATTATTATATCTAATAATTATTTCGTAAATGTGGACAAATTCCTCTGGTTAATTTAGTTTTAATTTTTAATTTTATATATATTTTGAGTAAATCAGTTGGAATATTGTGACAAATGCTGAGAATTCCATTCTGTATTATAAATACTGTTTTTGGAATAAAGTAAATTATTATTATATATTATATATAGTTATATTAATATATCTCAGTCTTCCTTGATACAGAGGGGTTACAGAGGGCGAGTTTCGCATAAACCAGTTTACGCCGTCTCTGGCGTAGACGTGATATCCGGTTATCGACCAAAGGGCGGGTGTACTGCTCAGCAGTTCGCTCCGTCTTCCTTTATGGCTGTGAGACCTAGCCATTCAGAGTGGAAGACATGAGAAGATTAGCTGTCTTCGACCACAGGTGCCTGCGTTCTATCTCCCGTGTGAAGTGGTATAATAAGGTGAGCAATATTGAGGTTAGGCTTCGGTCGAGTGCTAGGTAAGGAGGGAGAGGGAATCAATCGACGAGGCTGTGAAATTACATAGACTGAGATGGTTCGGACATGTGTTACGTATGCCTAGCCATCGCCTTCCTCGACGGGCAATGTTAGCTGACATAGGGTCAGGTTGGAAGAGAGCCAGTGGTGATCAAACCAAAACATGGCACCAGTCAATGAAATCCACAACAGTTAGTTTAAGCCAGTCACGTAGGGAGGTGTAGACTTCCTGGTTGGGGTCCTCGGGACGGTAAACACCAATGGCTGGAGACAATCGGTGATATGGCTCAAAACTGTTCTCATTGGCGCAGATACATTCACTCCTTGTGACTTATAATTTCGAATTGAAACTGTTTTGTTCTTCGTTATTACTATTCCTTTGTCTCACACCTCTGTTTACTGTCTCTATTAAGCGTTTCTTCTACTTTCTTCGTTTGCTTTGTGTGCTACAAGGAGGGAGCGTGGCGACTTGAACTACTGTTCTATGTCAAAAACAGACAGAATTATATTAAACAAAGAAATCTTTAGACCAATCAGATACTGGTTAACTTTGTCCAGCACACATTCCCTCAATATCGTACAAAAGGACTTCGCATACACCATCTGTACATAGCTGAAACATTAGCTATTCGAGATCTGAAACCTGACCTCTGCATTCAAAAGCGATACATACATTCTCTCGCCCTACCGTGGTCAAAGTAAAGTTCTTACTATAATTTTGCTTCTTTCTTTTTTATTATATAAGTTCACTCTATATTATTATTGTTATTACTACTATTATTTTATTATCATTATTATTCCAATCATCTCTATTACTGTTTATTAATAACATTCCTTTTTCATACAGATTTTATAAAAACACTTAGTCATCTTTCCACTAGTTCCTGTCCATTCTACACGAGCTTACTGATTAGTCATTAATAACAATAATAGCTTTATTCCAAACAGTATTTGTGGTACAGGTATGGAATTTTCAGCGTGCATTACAATATTGCATCTAATTACCTCATAAATTTTATAAGATTTTAGAAACAAAAAGCAACAACAACAAAAAAATAGATAAATAAAAAGAAATAAAAGAAGATAGCGTTGCATTCACATTTTAAACAATGCACCACAGGAATATGAAATATAAAATTAGTGTATAATAGAAGATGTGAACAACAATATAATAGTAACAAAGAAAGGAGAACAAAAGCTAATGGGAACTATTTGTTAGAGTGCCGCAGTAAGTTGATCGTGTCATACCTAACGGATTTCTCATCACATAACAGCTGTGCCAGATAAGGTATTGTGGAGGTTTTGTACTTGGTAGTCCTAGCATATAGCCTCCTTTAGCTGCTTCTAGTTCTACCAGATGAAATGCAAGGAGAGAGCTGCGTATAGAGAGGATGCTCAGCTTTATCTCACCTATTACGTCATGCCAGCTTCTGCCTCTTTTCTAACTTAAAATTGGTCATCCCATCTAGGTTACATCTTGCATTATGTGATACATTTTTCGAGGACAAAGTTTACCAGTATCTGATTGGTCTAAAGATTTCTTTGTTCAATATAATTACGATTCTACACCACCTTATGAAAATCAATCGTCGAAAATGGAAAATTTTCTTCGCTGTTTGCGCCTTTTACTTATGACTCAATATGGGAATATTTCGTTCATTCATTGCATATTTCATGATATCTATGTATTTCATTTTTATTACGTGAAGAAATCAAACAGTGATTTAAAACAAGCAATAAAAGTTAATAAAGCAGGATGATTTAATGAATTCATCAAATTTCGGTAGAACTCGTCAGCTGAATACTCTACATACACGGATATATATATATATATATGTATATACTTTTGAAATTACATTGGGAGATATAAGACTGATAAGTAAACAAACTACATTGAATTAGTCATGCAGAAAGACAGGTGCGAATGTTTTCCAGATCATGTTCAAATAGATAAGGGGAGAGAGAGTATGGGAGATCAAAATTAAGATAAATTGCATTACGCTTCAATTACATCACTTAGATAAACAATTAGACATTAGAGAATTTAACAAGAATTGCAAATAGAGTGATGTCAATAGTAATAGTTATAATAACAATAATAATAATAGTGTTGAAGTGAGTTAAGATAATCCTACTGATAAAGGATAGTTTTAAGTGAATCAATAATAATATTAATTATAAGTAAAACATATTACCATGGCAGATTCAGAGTCACGACCATCTCCTTTTGTACACAGAGACCTGGTTTATAAACTCGAATTGTATAAGCCTCTGCAATTGCAAGCATCTTCTTGTTTCCTTGTCTGCTGACAATGGTGAATGACTTGACTGCGTCGATATCATGTCCGTAATCCAGAAGATGCTTTGTTATTGAGGATTTTGGCACTTTGCACTCAGCTGTTTTCAACCATTTTGGCAAATGCTCCATCATGCGATGAGTAGACAATCGCCTTTCCGTACTACCTATGCGTATTTGCTTCCACAAACACACTCAAATTGATATACGCAGTTTGAAGTGTCGAGGATTGGCGACTGGTCTTTCCCAGATTGTTGAAGCACTCGCTTAGTGGTGTCTAGGAAAACATTCGCACCTGTCTTTCTGCATGACTAATTCAATGTAGTTTGTTTACTTATCAGTCCTATATCTCCCAAAGTAATTTCAAAAGTATATATATCCGTGTATGTAGAGTATTCAGCTGACGAGTTCTACCGAAATTTGATGAATACACTAAATCATCTTGCTTTATTAACATGCTTTTTTGCTTGTTTTAAATTCGTATCGGGAAATGGATGTTTCCAAACAGTAATTGCATAATTATTGTAAACTTATTTTTGCATTTTTTTCTCTATTTCACTAGATGTTTCACTACGCCTATACAACACAAATTTGGCCGGAAATCACGATCCTATGACAGTATCGCTTTACAAATCATAATGAAATGTATTCCTTTCACCAATGGACTATTCATTATTTTGTATCACTTCACTCTTTGAAGAAGACGGATAATTTAGTGACATCAAAATGACCTGAAAAATAGATGTCCACTGAGATTTACTCTTGTCTGAATAAGTTTTAAGACGTACAAAATGATTTACAAAAGTATCGAGCGTTGGTGTGAAGAGATTTGATATGTCACCCGAAATGGACAGGATTTGTGGAATTCATGGAGCCAATGGATCAGATCCTCGTAATCAGAAGGTCCTGGGTTTGAACTCTGGCAGTGGATGCATAGTAGTGAAGACTCGCAGACTGAGTTGACGAAACGCCTGTCCATTACTCTTTGGTAGTTTTCCAATGGTTGTCCAACTGAAATCAGCTCGTCATCAATCCTGCCTGTAATAGATGTATGTTGTATTCTACGTCAAATCTTCCGACTCTGTTAACGATTTTTTTTTGGTAATTTGTTGTGTATCTAGACCAATGATTCAATGTATCTCGAGTAGTGTTATTGAAAGGTTGTGATTCATCTCAAAATCTCAGTCTTGAATAAGATAAACTTAAGTCAAGTCTTCTTTGCTGGGGATGCGTACACCTAGTCAATTAGCTAAAATCCAGTTATTCTGAAGTATTCCCCACTTATCGGGATATTTGGAGCTATTCTTGTATAAGAACTGAGGACTGGAAAAGAACCAGATGCTGACTGCCCAGAAGTTGAATGCTAAATACAGTGAAACATAACTTCTATGGGTTTTCTACATATTAGACTACAACAATATTGGAATAGAGTCTTCAAGCCTCAGTATTCTGGGGGTCACTGGTTCAAATTCTATCGTGACTGTAATTGTCACTTCCCCTTCAGTCATTTTCAAAAACAGAAAACGCATTCGGTTGGTTGGAGGATTTCACCATAAGCGGACATCAATTAGAGGACCGTTGGAAAACAACCAAGGAGTATTGAGCAACCAGCCGTTTCGTCTTAGTTTGGGACACTTCATCGGTACGTACCCACCGCCAGGGTTCCAACCCAGGGCCTTCTGGTTACAAGGCTAGAGAGCTCGTAGACCATTCAGCAGCTATCGGGACCCAACCCAATCGCCAGCCCGTGAATTCCAGTTTCTGCCAATTCATGACATAGCGCGACCACTTCGCAATGCCTTCTTCAATGAGTTAATGCCTCACCTTCAACTTGCTTCACCCTACTGGTCACTACTACTGAAGTGTCTCAAACTGGAACGAAGCAGTTGGCTGTCCAGTAATCCCTGCAGGTTTTCCAATGTATCTCTAACTGATGTCAGCTCATGATGAAATCCTCCAACCAATCAAACAAAAACCAAAATCCCTACAATACCAACACTTGAAAAAACAAACACATTTGTCAAAAATATGTTTCTTCAGCTAACTTATCCTATTCATTTCTGCAGAAAATCAGACAGGATGTAAATACAAGTTTTGAATAAAATGTGAAATTAACAATAAAGTTTGTTTTAAAGAGAAACAGCTTGTTTTGATTTGTTTGCAGAGATAGCTAACTGCATGCAGCATGCATAGATAACACAGCATGACAATATTCACTGTTTCGATAAAAAAACACAACTTTATCACCCTTTCTGTGCTTCTAAGCCTTTACAATTTGTAGATTTTGTCGCAGTTGACTGAGACTCTGCGAAAGAAACCCATAAAATAGGATGAAACAGTTATCTAGTACTCTTTGATTCTTCTGCCTGGTGTCTACAGCAGGATTTATCATTTCCCCTCAAGACAGATATATGGTCTTATAAATCAGAATACCACAGGAGAATACTAGTCGTTAGAAGGTATATGAAAGTGGTCACATCTTTCTAAAAGTTTTAAGACTGACTGGCAACGTAGATAAAGGTGGGTGGTGATCTGGAGATTTTGTGTGCTTTTGGAAGTGTGTGGGCGGTTATCACATCCTGGTTGCCCACACCGTAGAAGTTGATGTTTTCTTGGAGTACCTGCAGAGCTCAGGAGACAGCTGTTTGCGACTGGCCACACAAACACACACACACGCCTGTTTAACTAAAAACCACCGTAGGGTAAGTCGAGATGTACAGTTTCCGGGATCTGCCATTTCTAACCTGTCTCCAGAGTGGAGAGTCAGCATAGCTGGCATGCTAGTCACATGAGGCAAACACCTTACCGCTGTTCCATCCTTGTTCCCCAGAAGTACAGCTTTTGCCGTGGACCTTCTACATACTGTAAGCATGCTACACTATGCTGGTAGATACTTTTAGTCTAATCACTATCGTAACAATCTTTCTGGCACGGTAGGACCTACAGTAACATTCGTTTCATTCGGTGTAGCTCATCGAGTCATTGTGATACGCAAGCCCTACCATCATGTCAAGGCAGCCGCTGTCAGTTGGAAGAAGTTTTAGAGATGATTAAGAGAAACACCTATGTATATATTTTTTGTGACCATTACTTCTTGTCACCAATAAATCATTCCGTCTTGATAATGTCTGATATTTTTTACGAGTTGATCACGGATTGATATCAGTTAGAGAACCATGAAAACCAGGAGTTTCTGGACGGACCACTGTGACCCAGCTTTAAAAGCGTTCACAGCCTAATGTATTCTCATTTAGCCACGGCCTGGAACTTTTTTAATAAAAAAAACAAAAATGTTTGATGTATTATTTTATAATAGTTATTCTCATCCCCTCGGCTTCCAAGTGGAAAACACGGCTTCAACAACATAGCTCCATTTCATTCTGTTCTACGCCTACTCATAAGCTCTCATCTCCACTTCACACGATCGCCTCCACGTCAGTCTCGGGCGGCCAACCTTTCACTGTATCTGCTCTCACATATTCCTAGCACTTCTTCTATGCGCTTTATCTTCTCATTCATTTAGGCAGCTTCGAACATCCTGTGGACATTCTATCCATATCCTCATGCTTTCATTGAGAGAAGACATTTTAGCTGGCTGGCTTTCCAAGGACAGAATAACACCTGGCGGTGTTATTCTGTCTCTCCGACTTCAGCGAAGAATATGTTTTACTTTTTGCATAATTTCTCTGTACTGGAAAGTTTCTGTAACGACTGGGCTGATTTGCTAGGCTAGGGTCACTAACGCCACACTCCGACTTCCCCTCTTTTCAAGCAAGAGCTTAGAACTAACCAGTAAACTAGTTGATGATGTTAAATGAAAGTATTATTATATTATTATTGTTTCCTTTAATTCCTAGAGGAACATAGGGCTTCAGCCGTGCGTCTCCATTGCGTTCGCTTCTCTGCTAGAGTCTTCACCTGGCTCCAAGTCTGCCCACACGTTTTCATTTCCTCTTCACATGACCTCCTCCAAGTCACCCCACCTTCGCACTGACGACCAACTCGCCGCTTCCCTTTCGGGTTCCACTCGACCAATGGCTTGTCTAGTGATGTCACTTGATGGATTGTTTCCTCAGAGTATGGCCAATCCATCTCCATTTCTTCCTGCCTATTTGTTTCACAATCGGTTCCTGCTGGGTTGGTTCGCTCATTGCCAGAGATCTCTGTTGCTGATCTTTTCTGGCCGGCCATCTGATCTTGAGTATTGAGCGAAGACAACTGTTAATGAAGGTCTGTAGTTTGTTTGAGATGCTCTTTATGACGCGCAGTGCAAGTCTCTGATCCGTATAGTGAGTAGCACTGACTTCACATTGGAGTTGAAAATCCGGATCTTGATGATTTTTGATGCTGAGTGCTGTTGACCTCCACACAGACTTGAGAGTAGTGAAAGCTTGTCTTGCTTTTCCGATTTTTGCTTTGATATCCTCGTCAGTTCCGTCTGCCTGTAGTTGAAACGATGCTTCCGAGGTAGGTAGGTGAAGGAGGTTGTTTCTTTCAGGTTCCTTCCATTTATGCTGATTGTTGTCTGTTGTTGTTGCTGTTGGTGGTGTTGCCCAGGAATCTTCATTACCTCTGTTTTCTCTATGTTCACCTGAAGGAAGTCCTATCTTTGATGCTTCTTCTGACAACTTGTTGCTTTTCGCTTGCATATCTTCCAGTTTGTGGGAAATCAGACATTTATATGTCACCGGCGAAGTCCAGATCCTCCAAGTTTTTTGTGTGAGTCCATTTTATGCCTGTTTCCTCATTGCCCGCTGTTTGTCGCATTATCCAATCTACTGCAATCAGGAAAATCATTGGTGATAGTAGGCAGCCTTACATCACATACGGGGTAATAATGGATTTGTCTTTCAACGTCTTCAAAAATTTTGACAGTTTCTTCTCAAATATTCTCTGTTTTATATTTCCGATCGCTTGATTTCAAACATTCTTCTTCTTCGTCACAAATAATGGTACACAATTTATAAATGTAATCCTCACGATTTAAAATAACTATGCCTGATCTCTTATTTGGACGAATTAGTAGTATGTCCTTGTTATTCAACAGTTCATTTAGTTGTTATCTTTTATGTTCTTTTAATATTATTTATCGTTTTGTCTGTATTACACTTTTAAGTATTGATAGTAACAATACAGTATGTGATAGACTTGAACTGTTCAACGTCTTCACTAGAAGTTGAATTAGACGTCCTTTTTTCTCACTGATACGATTTTCAAAACTGTATCTCTGTGTTTTTCAGCCATCAACTCTTGACAAGACAGTACAATACTTAGGAACGGTCAGAATTTTGAAAGAGGTTGAAAGATTGATGCATTATAACCCCGTATATGATGTATGACAGGGAGGCGTTCGAAGTGAATACAGAAGAAAGACAAGGCTGCCTATCTACTATTACCGATGATATTCCTAACTGTGGTGGACTGGATTAGGCGTCAGACTGTGTGTTGGAAGCGAGGAGACAGAAATACGCTGGACCACCGATAAGAAGACTCTAGGAGATCTGGATTTCGCAGATGACCTATGTCTAATGTCACATAAACTTGCAGACGAAAACCAACAAACTGGCTGAAGAGGCAGGCAGCGGAGACAGGTCTCCAGGTGAACATAGAGAAGACGG